TATAAATACGAGTACGGTACAGAAAACCGCAAAGTTTCATTAAAGTAGATCATCATAGATTCATGGATGTCGAAAAAGGTGATTCTTAATCACATTTTATTAGCGCTACGATAACTTTCATGAGTTACGAGTTTGCGTCGTATTTGTCGTAATTAGTACATGCTACAAAAAATAAATTTAAGTTAACTAGTATTTAGTTTATAATGTACAAGTGGTTCAGTAAAAGTTGAAGAAACGATGAAGAATGTTCACTAATTTTGTTTTTTAGCTGTCTGTATTCTCTGTTGAAAATAAAAAATATTCGTGAAAGCAAGAAAGAATTATTTCGATGCGTCAATTAGTTTCCAAGTGAATGCTGGCGGCGGCGGGCCCTCGCTCCATGCGCGTGATATCATTTTATAGGAATTGGCTCAACGTTTGTAAGGGTGGAATCTTGCAAGCTGAATGAGGGTTTTCGCGATTGAAAAATCCGCCAGATGGCAATACGTAAACGAGAGGTCCAAATGCTGCGTGATTGGTGGATTTTGACATATCTGTCAATGTCATGTCAAAAATAACCAATCATGCAGCATTTGGACCTCCCGTCTACGTATTGCCATCTGGCGGATTTTTCAATCGCGAAAACCCTCATTGACCCACTTCCGGACAAACGATTGAGCTGAAATTTCGCATTGCTGGACATACCATGCTATATTATGATGACATGGAGCTGATCTGATGATGGAGCTGGAGGGTGGCCATAGAAACTCCGGATTAAAACTACTTAACTCCATCGAGTTTGGGCACATTTGCATTTTATGTAAAATCTCGCTGCCTGCTGCTGTCTTTCCCGAAGACTATAATCCGGGCATTTTCAAGGCGAGAGTGAATAGGCACTTACAGGACAGATATTATGTACCATCCTAGACTGCATCCCACTTAACATCAGGTGCGAATAACTGCCTTGTAATGGATAAAGAAAAAATCTTAACTGTAACAAAGGTTTCAAATGATTTTACACAACTAGACATTCTCAATTAGCTTACGAGCGCAAAATCATACTGATTCTTCATACGTCATACCTACTTCTCAAGCAAGCTTAGGAGCAGTAAAGCCAGAATACGTTGGCATAAGTTACATAATAGTTTGTCAAATGGCGTCTTGTCGTACATCAATCCGTTGATTAGATCAATTGACCCCTCTTTGCGTTAGCTCAACGTCGCGATGACGTCATATTCGGGATAGGGATCGCAAAATTTGTCCATTGAAATATTGAAATAAGGCGTGTTAGCTCAACCGGTTAGAGCGGCGGACTCCGTCCGCGGTTGGAGGTTCAAATCCTTCACACGCCCCACTAGCACCAACATATTACCAACGCTTATGTTTCTTTTATCAATATTTTTTTGTAATATCTAATAGTAATAATTAAATATAACAAAATCGCTTTCGACCGGTGTGCAAATACAGGATGTTTCCTGTAAGTTGTCAAGCCGAAGCCAGGTGATAGGTGAGAACCATAATACCTATCGACTTCATCCTCAAGTATGTTCTACGATTATTCGTAGCTTAACTACTACTTACTTACTTAATTCGTAGTTATCATTAATTTAGTAACTTTTTTAAATTTCTTGACGGCTTTTACATTTTGTTATTTTTTATACGTGGTGACTTTTCTCAGATTTCTTTTATAACAGAATCGCTTTTAATGAAAAAATGTTTATAATACATTCCTATTTTTGATGCTAGATACAAAATTATTGCATCTTGAATCAAAATATGAAATCAATTTTTGAGAAAAGAACTAGCTACATAATTTACATTATTTCAAAATCTACACACTGCTTTTAATGTATTAGATAAAAAATCAAATAAAATGATACTTTAATGTATTGGTAAGGAACTAAGGATAATATAAGGAAACCAAAATATGCAATAGATATTTTTTTACAATACGAGCCATCCTGCCCTCACAAACTTCGTACTACCGCCAGTAAAAAGTTGTCTTGTTTGTAGAATGGTGTATTGGCGAAATTCCGTAAATTAATGTGAGACGTGAAGTGCCAAAGTGCGAAAAATGGCGGAAGAAATACTTAATTTATTTTATAATGGTAAATTTTCAAAGTATTTTGACTGGATAACTTTTTTACGCATACATTTTTATTGTTTTTCATCCGCTGCATAGATGGCGCTGTTTACTAAATAGACACTTGTTTCAAGTTTTTTTCTAAGCCGCATAGTTGGCGCCCGTCGCATAGATGACGCTGTTTAAGAAAAGCGATTTATTATAAATATATTTTTACTTTAAAAGTCGAACATAATTCATAAGAAAATGATAATCGATTTAACTAAAATCCATTTTTTTTAACATCCCTATAAATGTCACTGTCAGTTATAATATGTCAATTTGTGTGTGGATGGGTGGTGGCAGTGTTGCCAGAAGGTTACTTTTGTAACCTTTTAGGTTACTTTTGAACTGCATTGGTTACTTTTAGGTTACACTAATGAAAAGGTTACTTTTAGGTGATTTTTCAGAAATTGTAGAATTAACTTTTACAGGTTATTCAGTAAAAATATTAATAGTGACAATTTAAAAATTATGTCATAAACTGCATTTAAACATGAATTTGATTTATTTTTTTGTTAAAGACAATGAGTTTTGGACGGTTTTATACGACCGGTCACTTTTCGGTCTTCATGGAATGGTCAAAATTTCGAATTTAGGAAAACATGAATCGCTCCGTATGAAGGTTACTTTTTTTTATATTTCTGGTAATTTCTGACAAGACCCGACTGGCAACACTGGGTGGTGGTGTATTTCAGTGCTGCCAGATTAGGCGAATTATCGCCATTTAGGCTACCTTCGGGGGTCAAATGGCGACCAAAAAATGCGAACGGCTACCGTAGGCTACCTAGAAAAAAAGATCGGGCTATTTAGGCTACTTCAGGATTACTATGGAAAAAGAAATTTTGCATGTAACAAAAGTAACGAAACGTAATAATGCACATCCACCTAACACTTAATCTGAGACATCCATCGTTCTTTCCATTCGCTCACTCTTCATAAGAGTGAGATAGAGCTATTGTGTACTGTACGTACAAGTATAGATATAAGATACTAGCTTTTGCCCGCAGCTTCAATTGCGTGAAATTTAGTTTGTCACAGAATATGTTATTCTGAGATAAAAAGATTGATGCTGTAAAGTTTCATCAAAATCTATTTAGCAGTTTTTGCGTGAAAGAGTAACAAACATTGTTAACATCCAGACATCCATACAAACTTTCGCATAATAATATTAGTACGATAGGTACTACTCGTATCTCATGGACTTGGCGTAACTTTAAAATAAACGCGCTCAGTACATACATTACGCACACACTTACACGCATTATAAACACACGATTTAAGAAAACAACATAGCCGCAATATAGGCAATCTGCTGACAAGTTTGTGTGTGTGTGTTTGTTCCGGCGTTTCTTCTCAGCACTTGCCATATGTTTGTCTCGAAGCGCTGGTAGGGCCCAAAAGATAAGGAGACATGTAAAGTGCCCCATAAGGGCTAACTTTTCTTTTTTATTATTTTCTATAATAATTTTGACGTTCATAAGTGCCACTTGTGGTCTAAACTGAATAAATACTTTTGATTTTGATGTGTGTGTGTGTGTGTGTAGTTGTCAGCTGATTGCCATGCTGTCATCTTAAATATAGTTCCAAAATACTGAACTGTCTGTCCTATGCATGTCATTGACAGTGGGGCGCCACCGTCAATACCGGATCGCTGGTTCCGATTTTTGTCATGTTGGAAATAATAACTCTATGTGGAAACCATATACTTGAACGATGGTAGCGCCCCCCTGTCATTGAGTTTGGTGGGACAGTTCAGCCANCATCGGCCGAATCCGGCCCATCATGGCGGTTGTTTACTATGCAGTTGATTTCGTTTGAGATTTTTCAAGGGACCTTATCATTGTTTTGTCTGAAGAAATGGTGCAAAATTGTATAGTGCGTGGTTGCGGTAGTTCGTGTTGTCCTGGAAGTGATATAAAATTCCACGCGTAAGTGTTTATTTCGTGATTTCTGACAGTGGATCATTGTTAACATATTTCTTTGTATTTTCACAGTAATTACTTCCTAAAACGTTTTACCAGTATTTAAACTTATTATTAAATGTTACATATGTCAAGAAAAAGAAGATTTTACATTGAGTTTCATTGACTTTGAGCAAATTTAAAAATTTTGTTTCTATAAGACATTTTGAAGTAGTATGACCATATTGAGGATATATCGGGGACTTTCTGTGGGACCTTACTTATCTAATTTTGCATAATGTTTTCTACGGCCGTTTACTGTAATCAATCCATATCCAAATCCGTCTGTCAACTTCCAAATTAAAATCTGTTTTCTATCAAATATCCACAGTTTTCAATGCCTTTACACTTTCTTAATGTTGTAATTCATCTTAAAACAAAAACATCGAAAACCTTTTTTCATAATCATATTAAGTGCACTTTATCAAGACACACTGTTTAAACGTAAATCAGTCTTTGTCGTCCTGAGAAAAATAAATAAAAGGTTACCCTACTTAGAAAGAGAGAGCCTGCCCACAGAGAGCGAGATAGTGATACATAGGTTGTGCTTCAAGTAGGTATTCTAAGTCTGGCCTCCATTTTTATCTTTAGCTTCATGAGTTCAGCGTGGGTCATCTATTTACTTCTAATCTTTGTATTTACTCGGCACAAGTCAGGTAGTGACGTCACATGAAAATGTTGCCAGAATGAGTACTGACCAAACATTATCTATCTCTTTTTTTATACGTCACCATGGGTATAATAAGTTAGAAGGAGATAAACAGCTGTTTGTCATTAATGTGTCGATTTGATATGCATTTGTAAGCAATTTTTGTATACTCAAAAGGTTAGGCGAATTAGGCTACTTTAAGAAGAAAAAAATATTAGGCGATTTAGGCTACTCGGTAGGAAAAATTAGGCGAATTGAGTTGGCTGATATCTGGCAACCCTGGTGTATTTATTGATCGTTTGCGAAGTTGCGAGCACTTGCGAGTTCATCCTTTTTGAAATTGATCGTAATTTTAAATCAAATTAAACAATGAATATTCCCTTCCCAGTACTGTATCCTCGTTTAGTCGATTCTAAGTGGTTCACTGCGGACAACCCTGTTGATGAGGACGCGGAATTAACAGCTTTGGAACAACAAAACCAAAATCGGGTAGGTACCTACCTAGATGTAAAAACTTTTAAAGTACATGAATTTTACCTATAATTAATTGCTCATTGTTCAATTAAAACTGTAGAATCATTTTATTTCACTATCGAAAACCGTCTATAATAAGGACACCTGTTTGTTATTTCTACATAAATTTTATTATTGAATAACTAGACTTTCCGCGCAACCAATTTAGTACCGCCATTTTAACCTTACCTGGACTGTGATTTAAATAAAAGAACTCGGCTAAATCCCTCCGTTTTCGAGCTTTAGCGAGACTAACGCACAGCAATTCATTTTTTATTTTAGTTAAATTCCGTTGGCCAACGATACATGAAAAAACCTCCACTTGGAAAACCTGAACCCGAACCAATGGAAGAAGCGGATACTGACGAGGAAGAAGGTAATCCCATATTTTTAGCTTTATTTTATAGGTAAAACATTATGTGCTGGGCTAGAAGCAAAACTGACTGATTTTAAGTCCGATCATGTATATGAATTTTTGGTTTATTTTATTAGTTTTGCCATGTTAAAATCTAGCGCCTGATATTCTAATTATTTTTAAATAAATCCTCTACTAAAGATATTAATTGTTAACTATTATAGGCAAAGCTGTTTTTCTTATGCCTGTTTTCACCATCAATCCCTAATTTTAAAGTGACCCCTATTTAACAAAATTCCTGTGATTTGTTACCATAGCGGTCACTTAAAATTAGGGATTGATGGTGAAAACGGGCATTAATGTCTTACCCTTGACTATAACTGTAAAACACAATGTATTTTATTTATAGGAAATGAAGAATCAGATGAATCTGAGGAATCTCATGATGAAGACGAAGATGTAGAATTGAGAACTACTTATTCACCGCCCAGGAATAACAATGAAACGGAACCGGACAGGGACAGCCTTGATTATTTAAACGACACTCTAGTGTTGAACACGTCTTCCGACAGGGACAGCCTTGATTATTTAAACGACACGCTAGTGTTGAACACGTCTTCCGACATAAGTATTGAATACTAAAAACATACTTATTTCATTTCAACCAAGCAAGACCCCCGCTGGTTGATAGTTGGGCCTGGTTTTAAGTTGTATTAATCGGCCCAAACTAAATCGGTGTAATCTTTCATAAATCTCCATACTGATCAACTAAAAGTCTGTGGTGTGCGCCCAGGCTAAGGCTTAAGTTATTGTTATTAGGTATAAATATTTTAATCATTGTTATTATAGATTAGGTTATGGCTTTTGCTTATACCATCTGAAAGAGGAATAGTAAATCACTCCATCAAAATAATAAATATATTTACACTGTGATGGATTACTTAAAATCATGATCATTATAGATCAGGTAGGACAAACAAGCAAATGCTAAACGTTATTTTTTAGATGTTCTATTTATTTGCTAGGCACTTTACTATACTTACCTACCACTGTACTTAGCACAATTTTGTTATAAAAAATAAATATGCATGTAGTAATGAAACAAATGCAGTTTAATTTCATGAATAATAATAGGAAAAGATAACTAGTAACCACACATGATAAAACATTTTTCCAATCAATTTGCTTTGCACTGAAAAATTTTGCCGACGCGGCTTTGCCCAAGCGAAATTCGTAATTCTACCGTAGTAGGTACTTATTATTATTCTGTGATTCTACTATTAAATTGCGAAAGCTTGTATGGATGTTTGTAACTCTTAGGCCCAGAACAGACGGCGAAACGAAACTGCAACTTCTAGTTTGCAAATCTAAGTTTCTGCCATAGCGTCCGTTGAGAGACCACACATGACGCGACCAGTTTGAAACTTTCAGTTTCATTCATCAGAAGTTGCAGTTGCGTTTCACCGTCTGTTCTGGGCCTTACGCAAGTTCGGGTTACACAAAATGGTGTGACTCAACGGGGACAAAGGAAAGTTTTACTGAATCTTTAGATTCGAGTGTGTCTTACCTACCCTACTATCCGTTCGCTTTAAGTTTGCCGCTGGCGATATGATGTCACTCGAAGGGAATCGTCTAGAACTTGAACAAACTATAATTAAAATATTTTTTGTTTATTATTTATTGATAAAAATTTTGTATTTGCGTAAAATAAGACACATTAATTGCGTTTTAAAATCACTAACTGCGTTTATCGCGGTTGGGAGAGGAGACGCGCATTCCACGGACCAGCAAACTTAGCGCGAACGGGTAGTACGTAAATATTTCCAATCTTTTATCCAAATACGGAATGTAGGTAGGTATATATGGAATAACCAGATCCAATCCAAACAAAAACCCTACCTGAAATACCACTTCATCCATATTTCAACACCTCTGTCAGCGTATTGTCAAGTCACAACACGCACTCACTATTATTTTGAAAAGTTAGCACAACTGTTATGTTTGTCCTACGCAACATTTCCGTGTTGTCGTTTACCCTCGAAAGTTTTTTTGACTGACTAGCAAGATCCGACGTCATGACATGACATGTTCGATACCATGCCTTACATAAAGTTATGGGTAATGTTCTTGGGACGGTTGCGTGAACATAATGAATCAGTTTTTGTTCAGATGGATTGTGAGGGGTTGATAAAAATCGAATCGTATCTAGCTTAGTTTTGCCGAGAACTTTTGCATATATTGGAAGGCTTTCATATTACATAAGCAACGACTGAATTGATGTACCTAAGTATTTTGAATTCATATGGGTGAAGTAGAATAACTGGCAGAGAGTGCCTTATGGCATTAAGTTCGCCTAGCGTAGCAATTTAAATACATAATGATATGACTATGTTATTCATTTTCAATTTGTGTTGTTAATTTGAAAACACCTAAACGTTTCTTTGGAACATCCTGAAAAAGTGGAGATCGTTATTTTTTTTACTCTTAAATGGTGTTTTAAATAAAGTCGTTGATGAAACTTAGAATGAAAAATGCGATAGATTGTAAATAAAATAATGTTTCGCGCACAATCAGTTGAGGACGACGTCATCTTTTTCTCTATTTAATTATTATACGTAAGATACTAACTTTTGGCAACGGCTTCGCCCGCGTGAAATTTAGTTTGTCACAAATCGTTATAAAAATTTAGGCTAATAAGTATAATATGTATTCTGATGTATATAAACAATAATACTGTAAAGTTTCATCGAATACCGTTCAGCAGTTTTTGCGTGCAAGATTAACAAACATACATCCACACAAACAAAAACCAACATAATTTATTAATGGTACGTGAACGAGCATATCACTTAGTTTTAAGAAACAAAATCATCAGCTCTCGTTTTTAGCTCATAACTAAATAAATGAAATACTTAGCGACTCTGTTGTCTTGGGACTTCATTATTTAATCCGACGCTGATATGCTTAAAGGCACTCAGGGATAGTCTACATGTGGTATCCATACAATACATTACTCTTATTAATAGCCACTAGAATATACTATCAAACATTTGATATATATGTGATTTGCCTACCTCAGAATTGTCCTCTTCTTCTTCCAAATTGTCATATTTGACAAACGCACAGCGTAGTTGGTTTTCAAACTGCTCGCGAGCTTCGGCCTTTTCTTGAGGTGTAAAGTTTTGCATCTTATAAATTTGCCGCCACTAATGTCCACTTATCTTTAGCATTATTTTATATCGATAAAAGCTGTCACATTCGTTTGTCATTCACTTTAAATTATGCAAAAAACCCGCATCTATGACGTGTTTCTGCGCCACTACAACTTGCAAGAGGTGTTAAAAGTATCGACAAAACAAAGTGTTATGGGCGTCACGAAAGCCCGATCACATACATGCCTATCTATTATGTAGAATGCAATATTGTTGGGGAAGTGTGCAGAACAAAGGGTATACAAACATGGCTTTAAGCTTTAGTAAATGAAAAAACTTAATATAATGTTGCTTGAGTTTGTTTGTTTTTAATTGATTATGGTAACTTGAACTATACAATTTGAACCTATCGCACTTTACTGCAATCTTCATCAATATTAGTCATATTTAACAGTACTTGTGAAATCATTTAAGATTAGCATTAAAGGAAATGAAAATGCAGATTTATATTATAACATCTGAATTTCGATTGGACTGAAGATATTGTTTATTTGCTTGTATTAACAATTTATTATAAAGCAGAATAATGCTATAAAGTCGAGCTAACATGCTTTAGGTGGCCGTCAAACTTTGAAGGTAAGCTCAATGTCGAGCTGTGTACGTAATTTACGTTAAATGTTACGTTATTTCAGTGGCTTGCCACGGTAGAAACCATCTACGTGATTAATCGTATTTTTTAAGAAATTTGAAAAAAGTTGCAAAATGGTCTGAGTGTCATTCACATGTTAAGTCATATGAGTCACAAAGTGAAAATGATGGGTACATCTTATCACTGGTTTTCAGAATTAACACTTCTTGAGACGACGTAGGTAGTTAGTCGTGTGTAGTAGAACAGTGTCACAGAATAACTAATAGTACCAAGGACAGTGTTAAGTAGGCACCTACTATGAGTCAAAATACCTTGTCGACTTTCAGTGTGATATCACATGTAGCCATCACACAGTCACACTTTTTCTTTACCTTGGCAGCCAACACATTCCATTCTGCTTTTTATTAGGGTTCCGTAGTCCTGCAAAGGAACATTTAGTATAACCCTGGAGGTAAAGGCAGAATTTCCTTCATGTATCAGATAGTGGTACTTAACAACTTTATTTCCCGCTCCCAGTCTCCATATTATAAAAGCACCAACATTTTTGTACACTAAAAGGCGGCCTTAATCCGTAAGCATTCTCTCTAGTCAATCATTTGATGAGGCAGAAATATTTGGTTAATTTCTTTTAAAATATAAGACCTACCCACGACATAAATCATACTATCCCAACTAATATTATAAATGCGAAAGTAACTCTGTCTGTCTGTCTGTTACGCTTTCCCGCTTAAACCTCGCAACCGATTTTGATGAAATTTGGCATAGAGATAGTTTGAGTCCCGGGAAAGAACATAGGATAGTTTTTATCCCGGTTTTTGAAACAGGGACGCGCGCGGTAAAGTTTTTCTGTGACAGTCAAAATTCCACGCGGGCGAAGCCGCGGGCGGAAAGCTAGTTAATATTAAAATGTGAGAGTTTGTGATGAATGGATGTGTGTTAATGTTCACACAAAAACTGCTGAACTATTTTGGATAAAACTTTACAGTTATTAAAATAAATATTATCTAAATTTCATGTGGCAAAATAGCGGGTAAAAGTTATGTAAGTAGGTACTTACGATAATTTAGTCACACTACGACATAAATTATTAGTAGGTAGGTATTCACTAAGCTTCGCAAAAATATAAAATGTAGCTTGATCATAATCACTTCTTCTGGGGAGCATCAAAGCGTGCGAATATTATGTGTGTTCATGCTAAATTATAGTAGAAGAATAGTATGTTTTAATTTGCAGCCAATTAATCATCATCATCATCATCATTTCAGCCACAGGACGTCCACTGCTGAACATAGGCCTCCCCCAAAGCCAATTAATAATACCTACTTATACTATGTATACCACTGGAAGGCAATCCTTCCGTGGCATTTCATCAAATTATCTGACCAATAAATAAATTCTTAAACTTGGAGACTGGGGTGAGCACTGAGCAAGCCAATGTTATTATGGGGAACAAAAGGTGTTTTTTGCGACTCAAGAAGCCAGTTTTTGTTGACTTGACTACCTAGCGGGGAGGTAGCAGGTGAGCTCGGATCGTTTAACATGAGCTACTGGACCGCGCCGCTTTTGCTGAGCGATTGTGACCATTAATCATGGCTGGTTACCCGTACATTTGCGGATTGATCAACACAATTGAGTACGGAGGCCTTTCGGCCGATCTAATAACGCTTTAGTTCTGTATTAGTAGAACTCTCACCGAAAACTTTGTTACCGCGATTCAGGTTTGTATGCCAGCGCGGTATGTTGTATAGGCGTAATGTTTCAGCGCCATCTATTGACGCCTTGGACGAATTAAAGTGACGCCTAACTTCAAACCAAGCTAACTCCATTTAAAATGAGAAACTTTTTTTTGTTTCTGCTATAAGATTTCATTAAGTGAAATTAAAAACAAAATGCGTTTTTACTTCGGAATGTCTCGAGATAAATCCAACTACTGCCTAATCTAAATCTCGTGACAAGATTTTATATCATACTACTTTCCGCCCGCGGCTTTCTCGGAAATTATTCGAATTTATCTGGCCGTAAAAACCGTCCTTTAAAAAAGAATTGGTAAAATTGTCCCTGACGTTATTGAGTTATGCGCTTACCAACACATTTTGTGATTCATTTTTATATTAAAGAAGAAGATACGTTACGAATACTCGTAATTATTATAAAAGCTTGTCGCGAGATTTACTACGCGAGTACACACTCACTACACTCGTAATTTAGTAACGTAATATTATGGATTTGATTTAATTTTAAACTTGCTTTATTACTTTTAGAACAT